GCTGCAATTCAGGATATGTTACAAAGGGTCTGGCATATGCCAAGAAGGCACATGAGCACTGAAGAGATGCTACTTCCCTTCTCAATTTCTGCCTTCCTTCTACACAAGTGCTAACAGAGACTCCAGCACCACAGATAACTGCCACCATCCTCATCAGACTGGGAGTTCCCCTGGTGCTGAGAGTACTTTTGGATTCCAGTAAGCAGCAGAGGGCCTGGCCCAGAGTAGAAACATAATAAATGCTTGTTAAATGAAGAGAATGAGAATTCTTTGGGCTTAAGGATGTTAATATTATCCTGGCCAGGGTCAAAGAAAATTCTGATTTTCAATGTGGCTGAATAGGCGCTTGCTATGAGCGACTATGTAGTTCAAAGCAAATAAGCTATTCTGAATTCTAATAATTACATTCTCTAAAACATAAAAACCCAATTGCCCTGCAGCTCTCAATTTTACTTTTGAGAATCCAATTCTTTCCTAAACAATGGAGTGGGTAACCACAGAAACTTGTGGAATCTCTTTTCCTAGAAAACACGAAGAACAAGAGAGCAGCCAGTATGTCTGGAAACTACTTCAGAATCTGCCTATAAGCAGGATGCCAGAGTAGATTAGATGTCCCTTAGAGGACTCTTCCAGACTTATACCACTAAGATGTTAAGAAAAATAACTAAAATTAATTCTCTGTCATTCATACCCAGGAAAATAAAATAAATACAATTTAACTTCCTCTAATACAGTTATTGAAAATAATTTTACTCAGACTTAATGATGTTTTAACATTTTCTCCATAGTGTATTAAACCATCCTCAACTATTAATCTGAATATGAGCTCTCTTTCATAAAACAGAAAAGATATTACACTTAACAACATAGTAAATGGTATTATTATTCTTTTGTTCCTCTTTTTTAATCTACCTGTTTCTACGTGCTCCCAATCTATTCATCCACAATGGGAAACACCACTTCTCCCAAATACTCCACTCAATCCTCCCATTTATAAAGCTCTAATGCATTCATTACTTACAATACTTTGTGCAGGTGACTATTATAAGATGTCTTCTATTTTCATTGATTCACAAGTAACAATTTTTATCTCCCTGGCTGAACTATAGGCTGTTTGTCTAAATTTTATATTCCTCAGGTATTCCTCTACCATGTCAATACTGAGTTCATAAGTGCTTTCAAGTTCTTGTTGGATCACTGATGAATTTAAAATGAAGGGAAAGTGCAACAGTAATGTAACACTCTGCACATTGCGGACCTCTATGAAGTTCCGGCAAGGCAGACATCCAAACAAGTCAAAAATAAAGCCTTTCAGACTGTTATACATTGACATCTGCCTTTTAGCTGGGACTAGCACAGTTGGACGTTAGTACACACAGGAGCTCAAGGGAAAGACCTCAATGATTTAGTTCCTACCCTGTAAGGGATGAGGAGCTATTAAGGTGAGACCACTCACATGTAGATGGAGGCTATTTGGGGAAGTGTAGCACACTCCCCAGGTCAGAGAGTTTTCCTGGTTCTGATTTTACATAGGATCACTTACTCATCTGTCAGGCCCAGTCACTCAGGCATCAATAAACAGAAAGGAAAGGACTTTCAGAAAATTAGAATGTAATAATATTATTTAAAAACAAACAAGTAAAACTTGAGTTTTCTCATTCTTCAAAATCCAAAGAACACATCTGAAACAAGACTAAGGGGCTCAAAAATTCAACCATTACCATCCACTCTACATACTTATCAAGAGGGAGGCAGATCCCCTGTTCTTTTGTTTATATATGAAACAAGACTACTTCTTTTTTTTGGAGACATAGTCTCACTTCAGAGTGCTGTGGTGTTATCATAGCTTACAGCAAACTCAAACTCTTGGGCTGAAGAGATCCTCCTGCCTCAGCCTCCCGAGTAACAGGGACTATAGGAGTGCACTACTACACCAGCTAGTTTTTCTACTTTATTAAAAGTATAGTCAGGGTCTCACTCTTGCTCAAGCTGGTCTCAAACTCCCAAGCTCAAGAAATCCACCCACCTCAGGCTCCCAGAGTGCTAGGATTACAGATGTGAGCCATGCGCCCAACCCTGAAACAAGAACTTATTGTCCCTACTATGTGGCACGTACTGTCCTAAGTACTGGGAACACAGCATTTTACCAAAATTACAATTCCAGTAATGTTATCTAAAGCCTTAGCTTAGTATTTTACAGAGGTAAAAGATCTCAGATATAATCCAAACCCCTTATTCTACAGAGGAGAAAAATCAAAGCCCAGAGAGGTTAACTAACTACCTTGTCTCAGTTGATTATCACAGCTATATGGCAACAAAGGCAGGAGTAGAAACCAGATTTCTTGTCTCTCCCTAGTAACAAAATTTACCTATTGGTTAGGTGATTATTTCTACATGCCTCCTATAAGCCAGACACTACAGTAGGCACTAGATACAGGAAAATGTATAAGATACTAAACCTGTCCTCAAAAAGCAGTCTTAAGAGCAAGACAACTAGATGAATACAATCATATTAATGTAACAGAGAAAGAAAGCAGACTGTATCTCTAATCGCCTAGGGCTTCCAATAATTTCAAAGAAAATGAACTTCTAATAGTTTGTTTTATCCTCACAATAGCCCTATGAGTATAGAGCATAGATCTTATTATTCTGGTAATATAGATGGAGACACTTAAGCACAAAGTGGATAAGGGAGTCTATTAAGGTCATCTCTAGTAACAGCAAAATGCCTAGAAACTAAGTTTGTTTACTCCAAGATAGACTTTTTCCCCCTGCTAGATGGAAAAAGCAGATGTTCTTTTTATGTCCAAGTTCTCTTCTGACCAAAAGCACACATTTCCAAGACTCTACATAGGACAATCTGTGGTTGTGAAAGTAAATTTAACTGACTTGTGAGGTGTCATCAGCTGAGGTTAGTTATTCAATGGTAAAAAACCAACCAACAAGACATCATTACTACTGGCATTCTTAAAGCACCCATTCTACTATATACAGAATATATGGAAAAAGTCCTGCCCTTGGGGAGTTAATAGTATAGGGTACAGGCATATAAACATTTTAACAAAAAGTGACATAATTAAACAAACTAAAACTTTAAGAACCATCATAAATAACTACAAATTTAAGACACTAAAGGTTTTACAGACCAACTCTAATAAGAGCTGCCAAGACATATACTTTTCAAGGGTTAAACAGAGAACAAAGCCTTGTATACATAATGGTATATCTCAATCTTCAGATTATTAAAATAAAAGCTCTTACCAAAAAGTTCATTACATTTAAAAAAATATCCTTAACCTAATTCCTTCATTTCACTTTTCAATTTTACTCAAAACAATTATACAAATAACCTTTCCTATACAAAAAGAATACATTTATAATGGAGGTTTCTCCATCACTGTGACTTTGGCAAAAGATTAAAACTGTGTGGAATCACTGCCCTAATCTGCCTTCCTTCAGATGCAATCCAAATGAAAGAAATCTGATCATTTTCTCCTATATACAGAAAATTATATATACATCCAAGAATCACTTCATAAAAACTTTAAAAACTGTTTCTTTGTTTTCAAGTTCACCTTTAAACATAAATTTCACTTGTTTGGTGACTTAATATATAAATTAGTAAACTAATTTAAACTACACACAAACTTTATGTCCATCCTATATTTTATTTATATCACTATTTATTATGGCCTTATAACGTGACCCAATTATTTTAAAACTTAGCACACTGTAGAAATATTAACCAAATAAATGAAGCAAAAGAGAAACAAATATTAGTGATTTTAAGTTACTGACAGGAAGAATTTCTTTAAGAACAAGATAAAAAATAAAAATTGTGATCGTCCTTCAAAAGGAATAATGCTTTATTTATTTTAAAAATCCTACTCCATTTTTTAAAAAAAGGCTCTTTGGTATTTCTTAAACCTATTCAGGGTTTCACAATTATAGCCAATAAGTGTGAAATCCTTTTAAATATTTGATGAATTTTATAGGGTGATACTTAGTAATTTAAATGATAATTCAGAACTACCACAGTAGGTTTCATTGGAATTAACAGTAGTATTATCATAAAACGATTTCATATTTTCTAATTCCTAAGATTTAGTTCCATCACAAGAAAATATCTTTTAATAAACAACAGCTTAAAACTTAACTTTGAAGCATAACAACTTTTTTTAGACAGGAGAGGGAACAGGGCGTGAATTTATCTCCAGATCCTAATCACTAGGCCAAATTGAATCTTACATGGTTAAGGAACTAATTAAACATGCAGCGACAGTGACATCTAGTGTTAAAAATGTAAGCCAGTAAGACTACCATTAAACCTTTCTAATTGCTGAAGAGTAACCATTGAAAGCTTTCTTCAAAAAAAAAAAAAAAAACTTGCAGATTATATCTAAAAATGACCCATAATCAAAATAGTTCTATAGGTTTCCTTCTAGACATTAAAAGCACATTATTAAGATAAAAACATCTTAGAAAGTAAACATAAAACAAAAGACCTAAAAGTAAAAACTATTATTTACTCCCTTTGGTCAACATCTGTGACTGCTCCCCTTTATACCAGAGTTTAATGCAAAGGCAATCTGGGATATGTTCTAATGAGTGTACTAGAAACATTTAAATTTCCATCTATAAAATTAAAGATATTATACAAGCTAGAACTTAAGGAAACATCAAGAGAAAGTAACTTAAGACATTTCAAAAATACTTGAAGATGATGAAAAGGAAAAAAATGTGCAAGGTTGCACTAAAAAACAAGCTCTATATTTCAGCCTTTGCTGCCTTACTAATTTTTGTTGCTTTGAAAGGTCCACTTATTTAACAGTTGGTATTTTTGCCCCAGGGCTTAGAACTTGGCAGCACAGGTTAATTCATTATAGTATTTTTATAGTTTTATGCTCTAGATCAATCTATAAAAGTAAGCACAATTTTGAAAATTATTTTTGGCCAGGACAATATTGTATAAAAAGTAGTTAGCATTAGAAGGAGCTTACCTATTTGTTTTGGAAAGTTCATCCTTTCCCTTTTTCACTCCAAAAATTCTTGTGATCAAGGTACTAAAGAGAAGCGTGGATGAATTTCTCACCTAACATAAAAATAAACACACAAGAAGGGTTAAGAAATATTCATGGCATAGAACCAACATTTACAACACTCAAATTAGATATTCAAAACTGTTACCCAACTGGCTAGTATAAGGCTAAAGAAAATACAATTTGTGTTAATAAACTAAGACAACTTCCAAAAACCTTTATAATAATTAACTCAAAGACTTCCTTTTCTTTCTTTCTTTATTTATTTATTTATTGTTTTGAGACAGAGTCTCACTATGTTGCCCTCAGTAGAGTGCAATGGCATCACAGCTCACAGCAACCTCAAACTCTTAGGCTCAGGGGTCCTCAAACTCTTTAAAACATGGGGCCAGTTCACTGTCCCTCAGACTGTTGGAGGGCCAGACTGCCCGCCCCGGGACAAGTCGGCTGCTAAGAGGACAGGCAGGGGCAGCAAAAACACCCAGCGGGCCGGATAAATGTTCTAGGCAGGCTGCATGTGGCCCGCGGCCATAGTTTGAGGACACCTGAAGTGTTTCCCTTGCCCCAGCTTCCCGAGTAGCTGGGACTACAGGCACCCGCCACAACGCCCACCTATTTTTTGGTTGTAGTTGTCATTGTTTAGCCGGCATGGGCCAGGCTCGAATCCACCAGCTTCAGTGTATGTGGCCAGTGCCCTACTCACTGAGGACAGGTGTTGAGCCTCAGAGACTTCCTTGTAAACTGAGCTCTACAATCCAAACACACGGATACCACACAGCTTTTTCCTACATTTCTAATATTACCATCAATTGTTTCCATTATGTCTTTGTACTTATAATCACACTTTGTTTTCAAAAAATTTTAATTTTTCCATATCCTTCCTGACAGTGAATATCCCAGTAAAGATATCTGCACTTTCCATTTTTTTCTGTAATCATTTATATATGAGAAAATATTTATAAAATCTAACTTCAAAGAATCCACGTAATTAACATGGCTAAGAAAATAGTTAATATTCCCAAAACGTTGTTTATTAACCTCATAATGACAATAATCTAAGTAATTTTAGCCCTTAAATTATCTGAAATAACTGATTAATGAATATAATAGAGGTGAGAATTATCACTAATAAACATGAGTATTGTTCTAAGATGACCAATGTGTCGAGATGCTTTGGATTATCACAAAAAATGTCTTGAATGTCATAGCATTATAGGACTTTTTCAGTTACTTTGTCAAATCAGAGTAGAGAAGTTATGGACCGACTTCCCCAACAGCATCATGGAGAACATCCAGAAACGGAAGACACACACTTGCTGCCATCACAGAGTTGAGATGCTAGGTTAAGAAGGTCCATAACCATATGGTTCATTAAATAGCAATGTAAGAAGAAAGGTCATTATGAATAACAATGTAAGATTTAGAAAACAGCTCCCTGAAAGCAATGTAGTAAGGGTCACAAACTCAAATGCCCGCAAGAACCAGGAAGCAACAGAGGCAGCAGTTGCTGAACTGTGTTTAATGCAATCACGATTCAGCATCAGCTGAGTTGCAGCCGTGAGGAAATAAAAGCCCAGTGTTGCCAGATCTTTAGTTTTTTTAAGACAAGCCAGAAATCTGATTTCTATGTGAAATCTCACTGTTTTGAAATGTTGGCAACGTATTAAAGAGAAAAAAATACACCACGAAAGCCAAATAAAACAGTGACGACCACCAGTTTGCAACCTCTCCTCTGAAAGTCCCGACCTGACTCAATTATCCATAGAGACACTAGATGGGACCTTTACAGATAGACTGGCACAATTCACACCAAAACTGAATGAAACCCTAAAATTGGAAAGATCCATTTATGTTCTATCTATAGTCAACAAACATTAATGGAGTCCCTACTACATGTCCAGCCTAAGGTCCCCAAACAATAAATCCATCCATTTGTTACTTTATTACTATCACCTCTGCCCGAGCTCAGGTTTTGATTATCTCTTACCCAATCTATTAAAATAGTTCCCCAAAGACTCTTAAGCCTAAGGTAACTTAGGAAAAACACCTGGGACCATGCCTTCTCTCAGAAATCTCACACATACAGAAAGTAGAAACACAAACTCTATCTTGCCCTTGAACCACAAGGACTGACAAAGGCTGCTAGATGTAGTGAATTAAACTAGGACTGCCTGGCTCAGCGCCTGTGGCTCAAGCAGCTAAGGCGCCAGCCACATACACCTGACCTGGCAGGTTCAAATCCAGCCTGGTCCTGCCAAACAACAATGACAACTGCAACCAAAAAATAGCTGGGGGTTGTGGCAGGTGCCTATAGTCCCAGATACTTGGGAGGCAGAGGCAGGAGAATCGCTTGAGCCCAGGAGTTGGAGGTTGCTGTGAGCTGTGATGCCACAGTACTCTACCCAGGGAGACAGCTTGAGGCTCTGTCTCAAAAAATAAAAAAAAAAACAAAACAATAGGACTGCTTGGAGATATTAAGAAATGAGCACCTTAGAAAGAACTGTAGAAGACTAATTTACAAAGCGAAAGTGTACACCCTATAAACAACACTCCTTTGATTCAACAGGCTAAAGGCAAGAGACATATATTCTTTTAGTAATATTGAAATGGATCAGTGAGGTCCAGTTCTATCAGTCTCACCCATCCTGACATGGTCTGAATGTTTGTGTCCCCCTAAAATTCATACATTGAAATCTTAACCTCCAAAGTGCAAGGGCTTTGGGGGTATGATTAGGTCATGAGGGCTGGGATGAGTGCCTATATAAAAGAGGCCTGAGAGGGAGACCCCTCTGCCCCTCATACCATGTGAGGACACAGCCAGAAGACCCCCTCTATAATCAGAAAGTGAGGGTTCACCAAACACTGAATCTGCTGACCCTTAATACTGGACTTCCCACCCTTCAGAACTGTGAGAAACAAACTTTTGTTGCTTCTAAGTCATTCAGTTTGTTGTGTTTGTTACTGCAGTCCAAATGGACTCAGAGATCCACTATAAAGTGCCCTCATTAGCAGCCAATCATGATCACTGCACAGCAGGTGTGGCAAAATCATTTGTTCTATCAGGCCTTCTGCGTCTGATTACTTACATTCTCAGAAAAACTATTTTGATTACCCTGTTAGTAAAGAATTATTTCCATATATTTACCAGTTTTCACAATAAGTTCATGCCATAGCAATCTCCAAATGTGATCAAATGATGATTTAAAATTTTTTAAATAATTCAAAACCATAAAATTTACCATTTTAAAGTGTGCTAGTCAAGTGGTGTTTACTACATTCACAAAATAGGATACTATCACTAAATTTCACAGTATTTTCATTATCCCAAAATGAAGCCCTGTACACTAATTGGCATTCTCTATCATCCTGCAGTAGGAAAGCACAAATCTACTTTCTGCCTCTATAAACTTACCTATTCTGGATATTTCATATACCTGGGATCATTTAATACATGGCCCCATACGCCTGGCTTCTTTAACTTAGGCCAGTGTTCTCAAGGTTGACCCATGTCACTCCTTTTTATGGCTAAATTATTATTAGTAGTATATTATATTATTAGTATATCCATAATTTGGATATACTACTTTTTAAAAATCTATTCATCATCTGATGGACATTTGTTTCTGTTTTTGGCGATGATGAATAATGATGCTAAGAACATTTATGTAGACATTTTTGTATAAATATGTTTTCATTTTTCCTGGGTATATACCTAGAAGTGGTACTGCTAGGTCATACATATAGTAACTCTACATTTAATCTTTAGGGAAACAGCCAAAGTGGTGGTATCATTTTGTATCTTACTAGCAATGTTCCAAATTTCAATAATTCTCCAAATGCTCCCCAATATTTGCCACCATCCACCTTTTGTATTTTAGCAGGTATGAAGTGAGATCTCATTGCTGCATTTCCCTAATGTCTGTGATGTTAAATATCTTTTTGTGTGTCTATTGGCCATTTGTTTGTCTTTTGTGGGGAAACACATTCAAATCATTTGTTCTTTTTAAAACTGGGTTATTCTTCTTATTGTTGAGTTGTAAGAGTTCTTTATATATTCTGGGCACTAAATTCTTAACAGATACATGAGTTGAAAGTATTTTCTCTCATGCTGTGGGTTGTCTTTATGCTATCTTGGTGGTATCCTTTGAAATGTAGACATTTTTAACTTTGATAAATTTATCTTTTTGTTGTTGTTGCTTGTACTTTTTTTTTTTTGCTGTTGTCCCAGATTTATTAAAATATTACAGCACACAGAAGACAGATTCAAACAGTTCCACGTGGTGTTTTGAAATTCATCCCAACTGTAGGCTGAGTGACCTGGAGGTTGGACAGACTGCCAAAGTCCAAAAGCTTCAGCATTTCCTTAGTGTCAGGATCTACTTCAATGATCTCCCGATCCAGGGCTGAGACCTCAGGGACATAGTTGTCTCTCCTCTCTCTCTCCTCTTCCTGCAGCTTGATGGAGATGCCTCTCACTGGGCCCCTCTGGATCCATTTCATCAGGTGTGTGACATAGCCGGCTATCTTGTTGTGGAGCTTCTTGCTGGGAATGATGGCAATCTCCCTGCATACGCGCTTGTTAGTGTGAAAGTCGTTGCCCAGACGCGTGTAGTACTTCTCTACGACGACCCGGGCCACCTTCTTCACAGTTTTGGTGCAAATGAAACAGGAAGTGTTGCTTGTACTTTAGATGACATATGGAAGAAACTGTTACCTAACCCAAGGTGTAACAATTTGTTTTCTTTAAAAACCTTTACATTACAGTTTTAGCTCTTACATTTAAGTTTTTAATAATTTTGAGTTATCCGAATATAGTACATATTTGTATATACTACATGATGTATATGTATACATTATACTGTGAATATAGTATATATTTGACAGTAACCAAATTTATTTCTTTTGCACCCACTTATGTCCAGTTATCCTAGTACCACCTGTTGAAGGCTAATCTTTCTCCATTGAGTTGTCTTGGCACGCTTGTTTATGAAATGTGGAGGTTTGTTTCTGTATAATCAATCCTATTCCATTGATTTATATTCCTATCCTTATG